TTTGTTATTTTGAAGATTTGATAGCTATAACCTATGTATTTTAATACTCATTCAGTTTCTGGCTTGTTATTTTGTTTTGTTTTTTTTTTTTTTTTTTTATACATTGATGCCAGTATTGTTAAACAGTTACCGTAGATACTATGACAGTGTGGCATATTTATTTTTAATGCAAGATATATCCTGGCTTACAGGTTAATACTTTTCTCTACCTATTTACGGAAATAATACATAGTTATGATATATACTGGCATCTGTTATTTCTATATTTTCTGTTTACCTTGAGAAACAAAATTAGTGCTCTGTAAAAAAAACTCTAATTGGAGGGATTGACTATTAAAGCAGACCATATCATGCTCTACTGCCCACAAAAATCCTGTGATTTCAACCTGCCCAATATTTTGGTGATACCTTATAATCCTAAATACTATATATGCACAGCAGTGAAATACGGATGGGTACTGTAGACTACTTTAATTTACCTGACAATTTTCACAAATTTCACAAGTCAGTGAAACAGCAAAAAATTACCAGGTAGTAACAGTGAGCAATTCACTGGGGGTCCTAAACATATGTTTGCAGTCATGAAATTATTGAAAGCAAAACATTTTTTACAGTATTAACCTTTTCACCACCAGATTTTCTCGCCCAAATTTGTTCTGCACTTTTTTCTAGTATTCATCAATATTTCTGTAGAGGAACCTTAACAGAATTGGTTATTTTTGTCTAAATTTTCTGAAGGAAAATGCACACTATGACAGAACTATTTAGTGAAAAGAGGGAACTGGTGGTGAAAAGGTTAAGCTAAGATGGTTTCTTGGTGTTGAAAAAAGTGATCAAATTCTATAGGGTGGTTTTCCACGTACTAATATAACAAATTTTATGTAAGACCATTAAATATTGTAGGTAGAGGTGCACTGTCATTTTTGGTATAGTTTAGTATATAAGTAATCTCTGTATACCCGGTAGTTTGTGTAAAAGAAACATGGTGTGCAGAACAAGATATGCAAGTACAGTTCTGACAAGCTAGTAAAGTGCTGGAGTATCTTTACATTTTTCTACCTGAAAATAAAGTGGTAAGTTGTATATCACACATGCCTTTATGTGCAAATTAGGAGTTAAATATTTGACCTGGCGAAAGCAAATTCAATTTTAGTTGCCATGATTAACTGGTCTACATCCTACTTTGGAAGTGAGTATACATGACAAGCAGATCCAAACAACACCTTTTTAGGTACTGTGGTTTACCTTATTAGTCCCTGTTTTGGATGAAGGCCAAAATCAAAGACTTTATTGATTTGGGTTTTGTCCATGCATTCAAATCCATTTATTGGGCATGCTTTGACCAATCCCATTTAAAGTTGATACAAAGACGTATGCACGTTGATTTTTATTACCATTTCATCAAACATGGTGGACTGAAGGCCATTTCTGAACGTGTCCTGAACTATTTCTCGAAAATGAAATGACATTTCATCAAAAGTTTGTACCAATATCATGCATATTTGGGTTACATCATTTTTTTTTTTGAGATTCAAACTAAAATGGGTGATTGGTGGCCACTTTTTTTATTTATGTCTATTTAAATTCCTAACTAATCTTTCAACTCATTCAGTTTGCACACTAAAGTACTACACTCATAGCTAGTACTATAGGATATGTTATTTTGCGATTTGATCAAAATTGACTACTATTTTGTTAAAAACTATAAAATTAAGGTTATGCATATTGGGTTATTTGATCCCAAGTTGCTAAACATACAATACATTGAGAGATGCAAGTGCACTGAAAAATATGCTTTGCACACTGATCCTATTACAACGGTTTATCTGAGATGGCTAGCATGGTTTCCTACAATGATTCTACCCACTGGATTTTGGTTGCACATTATATTTTTTGGTGACTAAACCACATATAAGCCCTTTGCAGAACATTATCAATAATAACTGATCGCATTACAGCACTATTTAGCCAAAAGTACACCCACACTCCTGGGTCGCTGCTAGTGATAGATTTTTTAAATACAGAACAGGAACTGTGCAATGTCGATGCTTGTTTTAAATTGGGTTGATTTTATTTTCCCAATTTGGCATATTTTATATGATATGATACTAAAATTTATTTTTACTGAAATTTAAGTTCCCAGGGATTGACTTGCATGTGTGTGTGTGCGGGATTTCGTCAGTTCTGAACCTGTATGTCAGATGTGTCTCAGCTGATCACATTAACACTTCACAAACGTGTATATTTTTTGGTACATATGTATGTCCTTTCACTTCATAATTTGGTTCAAGATGGCTGAATTGCAGCCATTTTAATGTTAATATTACATCAAAATCAAGGATTCTACCGTTCTGTTTTTTACTGTTACAATTTTACTATTAAACACATTTTCAGTGTGTCAACCACCATCTTTCAGTTTATCACAGTTACATCTCATTCAATTAGGAACCTGATAGTTCTAGTGTACTGGTAGCTTTGTTTTATGGTAATGTACGTATAGAAGACGCATATTTAAATCACAGAGTCAAAGATGACAGTTTTCCTGAACCTAATATAGATGGAACCTATTATTATATTTTGTGGCAGGTGAAACTCCAAACCATCCCTCTGTCATTTTGCAATTTGCTTGCATCTTTCAACAATTATAAACAAATACTGAACCATGTCTGTTTGAATTTGAAAATTTACTTCAAGCAAAACATTCTGGTGATTAAAATATACTAGATTTTAGTGTAAATATTGTAAAATAGTGACTTTTCTGAAACTATATTCATAATATGCAAGCAGTAATAATACCTGATCTCAAGCTGTGAGGTGAGCTTTTGTGTGGTAAGCAGACTAAAAAGAAATGCATATAGTGTTGTGAATTATGTATTGTGTTGATGCAAAATGCGAGTTTATTCAGGTCAACTTGTATTTATGCAAACTTTTGGTGTACTGCCATGGACATCATTTACACTGTATGCAAATTAGCTCATTAATATTCAGAGACATGTTATCGTGCATCTGGGTCTTTGCTATTTCAAATTTTATGCTAGAAATGTTATTTCCACTGCTTGAATTAGATCTCTTTGTAATTCTACATTAATCAAAATGTAAATTTTAATTGTGGTAAATTTCAGTCAGTTTACATGAGAAGTTTGTTTTTGTTATTATTTTTCAAAATGTCTTTTCAGCTGCCGTATTAGTGAATGTCACAACAAGCTCAACTCTCTATGAAAATACAGATGTGCATTCTATCACGCATGTTTTGTGGAGAAGTGAATCCTACTCAACATGATAAATGTGTGTCTATTTTTCCCCCTTGACAAAACAAGGTGCCTTTTTTTCTGCAATACTCATTATATTAATTTCTTGTTTCATTGGTAGTATACTTTTTTTTCTTTCTTAAAAT